TCATAAATGTATATTAGGGGTCTAGGGGTTTAAGCACGCTCACCTTACGGAACTGCATAACCAGATTCATGAGGTGTTTGCTCATCTGCTCTGTAGTGCTGCGCGATGCCGATGCTTCGGATGACGCCAGCAGCAGATCTTCTATGTTGACTTTCTGCTTCAAACCCGCGTATAATCTACGCTGCCGGGCCGTTAGTGTACAGTCTATCTCGATCTCAATCTGTGGAAATGGGACAATTATCAGTAGGTTTGACAAACATGTACGCATATCTATCGCAATCCGTGGAAATGAGACGATAACCAGTAATTTTGACGCACGCGTACGTATAGCTCTATCCAATTTACGGGGAAGGGCGACAGTCATTATTTTTATCAAATTTATACGTATAACTTCGGTTATTTTGTGAAACTGGAAAGTATTCAGTGCTTTTAGGCACAAGTGCGTGTCTCTATCTCAGCCGGTGGATTTGGGTACTAATCAGTGATTGGACGTACACGCAAGCCTACATCCTTTATAAGACCTTCTTTAAATGTACCGTGCGCACAGGGAAATAAAGAATCACTGGCGACAGGTATAAACGCATGTATAATGTATGCCAGGCTCCGCATATATGTAGATATAAATCAAGTGTATCAACTCATGAACAATACCAGCCCCTCCAGCTGATGCGGAGTTTCTATAATCGAGCTTTCTAGCCTGACGGCTCCAATAATCATGCACTAATGGCTATAGGTGCATCTTGTCGATTATGATTCCATTGTCTCTACAAACATTACACACATCATATGCGCACATCCCCCTACTCTCTCTCCCCACCCAGTCTGCACTGCATCTCCTACATCAAATGCACCGAAATAGAAACACTCAACGATCGTGTATCCCCATTACGCATTAACTCACAAACAAACACTCAACTACACACCAGTGACTACTTCACTATAATCATATGAACACGCATGTCCCGTTGTCTGCAGCATGCAATAACACCAATCACACCTTCTCGCCCAATTCGTGCTGCACATCCCGTTTCAGCCGTCTCAACATGAAGGGCTTGAGGATCATGTGCAGGCGCTTGAGCTGTGTCTGGTCCAGTTTACCTCCCTGTGTCTGCGACGCGTTCTCGATGTCTTTACTGAACCACTCGTTGAATTCGTCGTGGGAGTCGAAGAGGGAGGGCATGATGAAATGTAGAAGCGCCCACAGCTCAGCCATGGAATTCTGTGTTGTGAAGAAGAAAAGTAGGTTGAATTGTATGTGAGCATAGTAATATTATGGGCATCGTGAAATACAGCAATGCCTCCAACAAAGCCATGTAATTCTGTGGTTGTTTATAGGTTGTATTGTTCAAGCATAGCGAGTTATAGGCATGATAGATTCAGCAGTGCTTCCAACTCAGCCTTAGAATTATGTGGTTGTTTATAGGTTGTAGTGGGTTATAGGCATGATGAGATACGGCAGTGCAAAAAACTCGACTGGGCAACTAACATATGAGAACACACTCAGCAAGGTGTTAAAGCCTAAAATATATGATTTGTAGGCCCATAAATTATCCAATAGATTCTGCAAGGATTGCGAACGAATTCCGGCTAACAAGATCTCTATATTGCCAGATGATATAGACATAATTTAGAATAGCGGGACCCGCCCCTCAGTGATTGAAATCTGTATAAATATACATAGTCGCATATTCACAAAATGTGAATAAAATAGAGTTGTGTACATGGTTATACTCCAACTATATATGAGTGTACGGATACACAAATATACACTATCTTTATATATAAATATATAAATAAATATATATATA